GAACTAACTCATGGGCAGTGGGTTTAGTTCTTTGGTTTAAACATGTACTCAAGGTCATGTTTAGCAAGCTGTTCTCCAACTGAAAACCCACTGAAGACTTCCCATGGCTCTTAAAACAACACCCCTTGCTTTCTTCTAGGGCCCACGTGATCTCTTGCTCTGGACCCGGACCCACTCCATTTCCCCGATCACATGCTCTGGCCACCCTGGCCATGCTTCCTAAAGCACGGGGCTCCGCTCCCACCTGGCATGTTCCTGTTCCAGAGATTCCATGGCTAGCTCTTCCCGGAGCCAGTTATCACCTTCCCAACTCATTTTATCAAGATAAAATGACAGCCCCAAACCCACCGCTTTTGAGCCAGTCCGGCCTCATAGTGGTTCTTGAGGATAGAAGAGAGCCATCCGGCAAGATTCCCAAGGCTGTCACCCTTAGGGGAGCGGACATCTGGGGGGTTCTGACGGCTGACCTTTTAGTCAGCAGAGGAGTACTTAACCACTGTGCCACCAGGGCTCCTTAGTCCTCATTGAGAGTGGGGGCGGGGTGGGGGTGGTTCTGATCCATGGAGCACTGGGTCTCAGTTTATAGGCTGAGACAAACATCTCATGGGTGAAGGGCCTGGCTGCTCTCCCAACAGATAAATGAAACTACTGTCAATAAGCTGCATGCCTGTGAAAGCTGAATTGGCAAAAGTTGTGATCAATGTATTCATAGCAACAGCAGCAATAAACACCTCCCGGCATTTGGTTCCGGGGTTGGCACCATGTTTTCATGGGACATCTGAATTACCTGGCCCAATGTTACATTTAGTGTTTCTGGTCTACCTATTCCTGGTACAGTGCCTGGGGTCTTAAAAGCTTACAAGCTGCTACCCAAGGCACGGTTGGTCTCTACTGACCTAGAAAAACGGAGGAAGGAGAGTCAGGCTTGTGGAGGATGGAACGTGTGGCTATGGGCCACAGTTTCCTGTGCCCTGAGACCAGAACTGGATGGTGCCCAGCTGCCATTTCTAAACATTTGGATCCAAGGCTCAGTGGAAGACCTCCC